AAATGTTGATTTTTGATTCAGATCCAAAAATTGGTTCTCCCAAATGTGAACGATGTGGGTAACCAGAGTTCTCGAGGCAGCACAGACTTTTTCATTTCCGTGCAAGTAAATTCGAACTTATTAGAAACGCTGGATTCCTTATCGGCACAACTAATACGATATAAATCAGACCATTTCACTGCATCAGAAAGAGAAGTTGTTTCAGAATCTTTGTATTACTGTGAACTGAGTGTCACCTGGATCCCCATACACCACAATATTATCACACACAGCGCAACTCTCTGAATCTTTGTCGGCAAGGAGTTGCTGAAGGGCCATAGTCCGGTGAGGCGCAACACTTTATAGTAGAAGTTGTAATTCTTCCGGAACGCGTCCATCTCGGCCGATGCCAAAGAACATATGCGCGGATAATCGGAGACATCGTCCGACTACACCTCGCCATCATATTTTATTCACGTTGTTCCGTGTTGTTCGCCTCAAATTTCCGCCGGAGCGCTTTTTTTCATAGATTTTTACTATAATTTACTCAAATTACAGTCTTCGTCCCGGAACCGATCGATATAATTCGCGCCACCGAGGAAATTTAATAGAGAAGCTAAAAAAATATACATATCATACGCTATATAGTGCAGAATTGAGGGTCGCGAGACATTCCCCGCAGTTCCTCGTCCCTCTCCTGCGTATTTTCCTGGAAAGAAAGGGGTAAGGGTAATTGTCATCGCCGATGGTGAGTCTCAGTTACAACATGAAGAGCGCGAGGAATGGACTACTCTCCTTCCAGGTACTTCCTTCCTTGTGTAACGGAATATTTTTGAACGTTTAAAGGGCTTCCAAATTATTCTTGTGTTATTCTAACTGAAATAACGTTAAAATATTCTTGAATGTTCGACTTGATCATCTCGACGAATGGAAGAGAAGAAAATGAGAATGTGCCATTGGAATCGTTTTATTTATCTGTTCTTCTAATGTCATAAAATTAACTTTTTTTGTAAAGAGAAGAGTGACATGTCGTGGGTTCACCAATGAGGAATAATTCCAGATTCTGTCCTCCGGGAGCATCTTAGCGATGTTTAATATGACAGTTTGTAGCTAGTTAATATATAATTTTCCTCTGTAAAATACAACAAGCAGCACACGGTCGGAGGTAATATATTCTGCGAGTAATAGCAACCGTTGTAGTATAATCTGCATCTCGTATAATTAATAATTGAGTGCAGCGATAACTGAAATTATTAATAATTTAGCACCGTAATGACTCTCTTAGGGTCGGGCTTCCGTTATACCTAGTGTGAAATTTCTTCTAAGTGAACCATTCGGTTCATTCATGCGGGCGATTGGTAGTCTAGACCAACGAAGACAAAACCGAGTGTATAAATTATCATATTTTTATAAATTCTTTGTATAAACATTTTCACACTGTCGGTGAAGATTTTCTGGTGGAAATAAGCTTTTCGATCCTGGAGATAATTGAGCTTCAATTTTGATTCAGCTTTTGTGGAGTTCTTGGGAAAATGTCTTGCACATTGTGTGCATTCTTGTGAGAAACACACAAGTGTCCAGCACCACTCTTGTGTTTTCCCATCGCAGGTGAAATTGAACAAATTGCACGGTGCAAAAAGTGGCTTATCGATCCTTTTTTGGACTCTAGTGGGAGACACTTCTGAAGCATGTCGCTGGCATTCTGTTGTGAGTTTTCGTCCAGTCGACTTTGGTGTGTCTTTAAACAACGATCTATAAACTTTAAATAGCTATAAACTTGAACACTATAAACACAGTCCTTTCCACTGACAAGAGACTATCGAATTATTAAAAAAATCTTCAAAGCCTCCTAAAATCACGCTCTTCAGTGTAATAGGAGGATATTAATTTTCTGTTTAGTGAAATTTTACGTGTACAGTGTAGTACATATAATTCAATTACATACGAAATACTCTTCCTGACAACAGTTAAGAAGGATATATTTATACACAGCTATGTTGTAGTCAAGACAAATGAAACGCCTTGTTTAAGATTAAACGTTAACTGAAAGTTTATATGACTTATTAGTAACAACTGGTAGGCAGTGTTGGGACATCAATAGGTATTTATCCAGAATTTTATCGAGAACTTTATCGAGAATTTTATCGAGTATTACCGTTATAATTTGACTTGAATTTTAAAGAATTTTTTTCTGAACATACATTCATTATCGATACCACACTATATGTGGTTACAATATTTGCATGTCACAAACCCTCCACGTGTGAAGCTTCTGTGTAGAAAAAAAAATTCTTCATAATTTCAGAAGATACGGTGCATAAATTACAGAAGGAATTTCATATCAGAAAAAAAATCCTACACATTTGCGTCGATAAGTCTATGAATTGAAACAATTTGTAAATGGTCAAGTAGTAAAGTAAAAAGTATATATTGCGTGTTTTAATTTGTTACAGTGTAAACAGATATGACGATGGAATTGGTCCCGTTAAATTGAGTCGAGAACCGTGGATATGGGACGTAATACCAATAATAATTGATAAAGGAAATTATGCAAATGAAAATCTATTCCAACGGGGAAAAGTTTATGTTCAGGTATGGAAATTTAATATTTAATTCTCTCTGTACGCGTTTCATACGTATTATCTTCATTCAAAGTATTACTGGAAAAAATATTACTACAATATTGTAGAATCATGAGATTCGGAGAATGAAAGGTTGAATGAACTTTGGAAGAGATGGAGAAACTTTGAAAGAGATCGTATTAGAAATCAGTGAGCAAGTGTAAAGCTACTGTATCTACTTGGTTATTAATTTTTAATATACTTTCTTATTGTTTTATAACACTCATTTATTGCTAACCCTTATTTCCTACAATATTAATAGTGTGATACAGTCGGAAAAATTCGGAATACACTGCAAACAGTATCCTTAATTGGGTCAAATTATGCAGAAAGCTGCCGTACAATAATCGCTTCACTATTTACTGCAAAGAATGCAAGACAGTGATTCATTTTCATCATTTGGTTAATTACTTTTTCAACAATTAATCTCTTTATATGACAAAATACGATTACTTTGAAGGCCTTTGGTTTCATTATTTTTTATATTTAAATTTTATGTTAAGTTGTTCTCTTACGAATTTCAGTAATAATAAAAAATCTAATTATTGGCCACTGTATTATTTCATTATTCTTAAAAGTAAATGAACAAAGATTTAATACTCATTTGGGGTATTGTGGGGCCCCATGTGATTTTCTGAATGCGACTACTTAAGGGCTAACATAAAAATCAAAACTTTTTCACGTACGATGCACTCGGTTCCACTCGGACCTAACCCGGCAACCTTTACGCGGCCCGGAAACCGCATCGAACAACCCCAAATTGCGCGCCCCCATTCGAAATTACTTTCGCTGGGACGTGCCACGTTTTTCGAGCCGTTGCATCTCGGATGCACTTATCTCCGCCATTGGAAATTCGTTGAGCGACCGGTTCTTTTCGATCGCGAGACCATTTCATTAGAGACGCCCTTCGTGTGCATTTACTTAGAAAATCTTAATTGAAACCGGTACCGAACGCAAAATCGTCCCGAGGGCTCGTCGTCGCATTAAAAAGGGGGAAACGATAAGCGATTCAAATGATAAATTTATGTTTTCAGCAACTGTGGCGTCATTTTCCTTAACATTAAATTCATGTAAAGAAAATCACACGAATATTTTGATTATTTACGACGGCTTATAACGAGGTTTTAACGTTTATGTATTTTTACAGTGTATTGTTTCTTGTTTAATATGGTTCAAGACAATAGAAAATCACAGAAAATTTAATGGATGTTAGTGGCCCAACGTTCCTTCAATCAGTTATTTTGTTTCATCTCGGTGAGATCTTCGATTCAACGTATGTTTGATTAAAAAGTGATATTTTCACTAGCAGCTTCTAATCCGATCTTTTGAACCAGCATGAAAAAATCGGAGAAATTTTTATTATGGAGTCGATCTATGAATTTCAGTTAACTAGATCTGAATATGTTCAGAGAACCGGACTTCAACTGCCAAGAGTTTCGATAACTCCAAATCGAAAAACGTTACAATTATGGAATACTTGACTTAACCGGGACATCAATCGACGATTCAACATACTTATCTCGTCAAAGTGGTGTTTCTAGTGGACAATCCGAAGTCGAGGAGACTCGACAATCCCATGAATCTGGTCCACGGGAAGCAAACACTATAAAACACGTGTCATCCGTGGGCGATAGTTTGCGAAAGAGATTCAGAACCGTTTCTGTCTGTTGTAAATCTACGTGGAACAATGAAAACGGGAAAACGAGGAGCATATCTATGGGCAGCGAAACAATCGTGAAAGAGAACACGAAAATCCAATACATTTCAATCAGAAGCCGGTCCGAAATATTGGTCGCACCGCGAAACGACATTCTGTCACTTTTACACCGTTTCTCGAAATGCGATCGGGGAAACCGGTTGCGAACGTATATACAGAGTGTTCGGAAATGATGTTCTAGCAAATGGACCGTATAACTTTTCAGGCTATTCAAGTTTAAAACAAACTTTCCACTAGTATTGCGTATAATTGTTCGCAAACGTCATTTGCAAGAATCCATTGTCTTGTATTCATTAATTTTCTTACAGAGAACTAATTTAACTTTAGTACGATTGTAAACTCATTAATAGTAGATCGAGTAATTTAAGGAGCAATAGTGTTGATAATAATTTCTGGAAATATTATAAAAGAGGTTAATATTCAGGACTGTTTAAAGCAATCGTTACATTGCAGTATATCCAGAAATACTGTATTAGATCTGAAAATATTTCGTAACGGTCGTCTCACATTTTGAAATAGTATTTTGTCAAATTGTTCATTCCCTTTTTTTTTTTGATAATAATTCGATAAATCAAGAAAGAGAATAAACAGTGAAATATTTTCTTATGATTCTTAAACACTTTATCCTCCAGAGGTAATTTCAGATATTAATATGTTCGGTTTTTACTCACATTCTAATCCAGTCTTAAAAGAGAAAACGGAGTCGATCACTGAGGATTTGAGGGAACGTTTAAGGTTTTTGATACAGTTGGTACTGGAACACCGTGTATTTTACCAGTTACAAGATGAAAGATGGTTTAAACGAGGACGTGTAGGGCCTCGAAGTTGCGAGAATGACAGCGAGTAGGCGTACCGATCTCGATACGAAATAATGGCGCCATGACACTCCTTTGAAAAGCCCTCGGGAGGATCTACGGGGCCTGATCCTTTGTTGGAAACATGGTTCAAGGGTGCCGTTTCTCATCTTAACGACTGCTGAATTGTGGCCACCGATCGACTGTTCCTTTATCATGCAGTATGATATGACATGAAATTGTCTACCAGTTGTTAACTACCATTTTACGAATTTCATCTGCAAAATATTTATAAATACGAAACAGAAGAATTCCAGAGTATCAGCTGACGAAGAAATTTGAAACAGGTGTACAAATGTAAATGTCAAATACATTCTAACCTCGATAAAACTGATCGAGACAATTTTAATTATTTTAGGAGACTGGCGTACAAAATCAACCTTGCTGACTGGGACAGACGGTCTTGAATATATATATATATATATTTACCTCGTGTAGAGAAATCTCTGGACCGAAACTAGACTGAACTACAAATCGGCGCCATACTTCCATTTTCTAAACTATGTGTCACCTAAGTTTCCATTTACTGCTGGGACCGTGATCGCTACACTTTCTACGTAAGCGAATAGAGCACAGTGAAGTACGAGAAAGACGAGCTCATCATCTGAAATATAGTGAGTGTTATTCTAGTAGCGAAATATCTGAGAAAAGATTGTGGATTAATACTACGTGTCCAATGGACAGAGACATAGACATTAACGTTTCAAGTGACGAAAGTAGAGTTCAATACACGAGGATAGAAGTCCATCCACAAGCAGAACTAGCCGTGAGAATTGTAATATGTTGCGACAATTATTATAAATAAAAAACTCCCGAGAGTTCTCACGTTTGGACACGCAGCATTACGACGAAGACGAAGAGCGTACCATTCCGAAACCTTCGCAGCAAGGAACGAACAGACCGGCGAGATCAATCATGCAATCGACCGAGCTCCTCAGCATTATCAGTAATAACACTTTCTGCGTCCTCACTGGTACGTAGTACCATTTGGAATTGTATCTGCATCGTTTAATGGAAGATATCATGTTTGGTCAGGTTGGTCGCTAGAACTTCTGCCATCTTACTTCACGAAGTCTGCGAAGACTCACGTTTCAGAGAAAAGTTCCCTACTACCGTTTATTACTAGCTGACCGATTATGTTACACAGGAACACTATCGCAACATGCACGTTGACAAATACGAAGCACAGCAGTAATTCTTTCAGCTCCTCCTTTGCTAAAACCGCTAAAAAGAACTAACACAGAATTTGATACATCTTCATTTCTATCGTCAGATAGGAAAACAAAAAATTTCATTTATTCTGCTTGAATTAATTGCAACAGTGTAAGAAGAATCTGGTTCATAAATAATCATTAATTTCAGAAAACAACGTATTAACAAAACCATAAGGCTCTCTGAAATTCTGATTATTATCATCAATTACTCCAATGAATTAACAAAACTATCCACTGAATTACAAACTTCTGTATCAAGGATGAACCAATCAAAATTACCGTCAGAGACAAATCTGTCAAAAAGCAGTTGTTCTCTAGTAAATTTGCTTCAACCATATGATGATTTCTTTTACACCGAATAACTTTTATTTGCAACATTTTCCTCCGACTACCCGTAGTGCCAGAAATATTGATGGTGCCAATTATTCATAATCTACCCTGCATAGAATCACTCCATCAGTGGTACTTACATTCAATCCAGATGTACTTACACGGAATAGATTTAATGCGAACGATATTATCACCGCTATGATCGCAAGAAGGTAAGATGTGCATGTATCCTTTCCGTACCGCTTCACCAAGCTTTGTTCATGAACGGATTATGACGTCCAATCGTGGCGACAACAAGTAGCAGGGGAACAAAGTAGGTTTAACAATCAAATCAATCTGAATCTCTTTCGCGAAGTCAAGAAAATAAAAGTACCAACTCCAAAGCTTTTCTGTGAGCTTCCACGGCATCGCATAGACGTAAATGCATCAAGGTACTTTCTTTTGAACCACTGATCAAATTGGCCGCCCCGTCGACGGCACTTCGTATTCGATAGCTACGGAATTAAAGGTTAATTAATCAAATTCAACGAATATTGCACATAAGATCGGTACAATCTAGTAATGCGGTATTCCTTCTTTATAACAGCACAACGTTTATAAATAGAACATTACAATTGACACGATACGACAATTGCATCACCAATACCGGGTTTTCACGTCGAACAGTCAGCGTGGTCGCGAATTGACTCAGTTTGACTTGGTTTGACACGGTTTGACACGGTTTGACACGGTTTGACATGGTTTGAGGCGGTTTAACATGGTCTGACACGGTGTAACTAGGTTTCGCCGTTCGTTGCCAAGCTGCCTGCGTATGTACTCTCGCCAATTCGCTCTCGTCTGACACTTTTGACAAGCCTACAAATTCTCCAAGCCACACACCGCAGAAATCGGGGTGTGTATTAGTTGTGTTCTCTTTGAATGACGTATGTGTTCATAATCAGTACTAAATATGTTCCCCTCAATGTTGGTATGAATAATCGCTCGTCGGTGCGGTTTAGTTTCGGATTAACTGTACGAATTCGGGTGCCGGTGGAAGCCGAGATTTCTAGTTAATGTATATCATTGTGGGTGTGGTTTTATTGTGAAACCGAAGTGGAGCCAAAAAGTGTATTTTTTTGTGGATACCTTAAAATCAGCTTCGAGTTCAAAGAAATGACTCTTTTAAAGAAAGTGGATGATTACGATCATTGCGATTTTTGGCACCTGTGTTGAGTCGCAAAAGGGACACATTGAGAACTGTTACAAGGAAGGAATACCGCATAATACGCGGAACGGAACACGATATAATCGATCAAGAACGTTCACATTCATTCTTTTATCGTACTTAGCAATCTTAAATAGTCCGCAAATGTAACAGACAAAAATGACTGAAGTCGACTCCGTGCAGACTATTATCACCATTCCTACTGCACACGTCGATACGACATGCAGGGATATCAAATCGACGTATATGTTACCGTCAACTTGAAACCCGAAGGAGTGCAGCATGCGGGGCCGAGACTCGTTCAGAGGCATCAACAAATCGAGCATTACAGGGACAGAAAGAATAGTGTTGACGTAAAATACTCCTGCGCTTGATATACCTAAAATTCAGAACTAGTTCAGGAAAATTGGTCGTATCTGTAGAAGGTATAACGACTGTAATGATTACAGAGATAAAGTTGTTTTGTGCCACACCATTTTTCTATTGTTCAAATCAAATTATAGTAAATTAGGGGACAAGTGACGATAAGGGTCTAGATTTGTATTCGAAACTCTTACACACGACTGCCAGGATTATACGCCTCGACGTATCGATCTGTTTCATTAATATCTCCAGTTCGACCGGGTTTTTGAGCGAATAGTAGTCGTTTTGCAAGCTTTCGAAAATGAGCCTGATCTGAAGTCACACAGAAAAAGGACGTTACTATTGCGTTGGTATTTACGTTGACAGTTTCGAAAATATTTGTATTCTTCGTCACTTACGATTGGGAATGTGCAGATAAATCCAATGTACCGGCAAAGGAACAAGAACATAGGGTCACCGAACGTTACTGCCAAAAATATATTTTTCAACGTAGCGTGTGAGATAGTTAATGATATCTGTAAAATATCGTTCATTATACTCAGGGCACGACAGAAGTGTCAGTAATAAAAATCCTCTAAATATCATAAAAGCATATCCACTGACGTACATCATTAATGCTTTCAGGAGAGATCATTTAAAAGGTTACATAAGAATTAGGTGATACGACGAATTTTTATTACCTGAATCGTGAGACAAGAAAGTGGAATAATACGTAGAGCATTCTTTTTCGATCACGTCCATCTTCTTGACCGTCGCTGAACAACGTGTGCGCACAACCCTCGCGGAACCATTCGACAACACCTCCGCATCATATTTCATTCATCAACTCTTGTTCAGGGCTGGCAGTTACAGAATGTAGCTTGCCTATTGAAATTGTCTATAATTCGCTCGTACAACAGACTTCCGTCGGAACCGATCGATTTGATCGGCGCAATCCAGAAAATTGTTTACATGAAACATGCAATCTGAGAAAATTGAGACACGCAAAGAGAAAATAAAACGTTTCTTTTATTCTTTTCTTTTTTTCTCGCGGAGAAAAGATACCGGGGTTTTAACCTCTGCTGGTAATTCTTAGAATCAACGTTGACACCGAACATATCGGACCTTGCTTCATATTTCTTGAAACGTGGATGTCACTTCAAATGATTGTTGAATTATTAGTGTTACAAAGATTACAAGTACGGAAGTATTTGTTAACTGAAGCATGCGCATGTCCATGGAGATTATTTTAAACTTCACTTTTCGAAGGAGAGGTACGTGGAAGTTGTAATTACACCTGGCTCAAAAGAATGCAACAATTACTCACTTTCTTACTTACATATACATATTAAATTTTAATACATATTAAAAGTAAATATTAAAATTGACTTCATGTACGCATAAAAATTGTCGGTAGTGGTACAGAAGATCGAAGGAGTGAACCAACATGTAGTTTGACAGAGTGAGAATCAGAGTGAAGATCGAAAGAATAGAGTTAAGCTTTGTCAAGTCAGTTTTCACGTGGAAGCAATTGAAAAAACCCTGTATTTTCTAATCCTGAATGATCCTCTAAGTGTAATTCCAATGAGAATATTATTAATTTGGATTGTGTTTTGTCCACGAGACATCTCCTGTGGAATCCAGACTAGCTCTGCAGGATTATAGAAATCTTATCACTAAAGGAAATTCCATTCAGACAGCAAAAAGTGTATTCCACTAGGTAAAGTATTGCACATACCATGTAGTTGCAAGATTCGCTGTCAAGAAGCTATCTAATATTTGCTATTAATAAACCTTCCAATATTTGCTTTTAATAAACCTTCCACGTGAAAAGCTTCGAGGAAAAAAAAATTGCCATACAATTTTAGAATAGTTTTGGTGACGTGGTAATTTAATAAAATCC